TACAAAAACCCTCCTTTTATAGCCAAGGAGGTACATATAGGACAAAAGTAACACTATTTAAAAGCATGGCATTTTTAATACTATATGAATGCCTTTTTCAAAAGTCTGACACACTTATCACTTATGGATTACATTATTGCACAAAAAGACAAAATTTACTATTCATAAACATGCTTGTGATCTTTGAAGGACACTTGTTCATTTTTGAAGGACACTTGTCCATTTAGTCTTTGCAAATTGGTTCATGAGAGGGGGCCATATTCTGATCAGATAAATTTTCATCAGAAAAGCAATCTCCACAGTGAGATGACTCACGCTGCCAGATGTCCTTCATCATGTAGGTGTGATCCGCTAACCTCATGTTAGCTTCTTCCACCTGTCCTTCAGAGAATTCAGCTTCCATTGGAGAATCTGGTTTCTGTTGTGTGGCTTGAGCCAAGCTTTCTCCAACTTCTGATCTTCTGAATTTTTCATGATGTATGCAAGTTGAACTACCATCAAGTTTCTTTGGATCATAGAGATTGATGTAGTTAACATACTCAAGTAATTCCCTTGTGATTTTTAGACTGGGAGGATATTCATCAATGGTTTCCCATAGGTGAACATAACTCTTACAATTGAGTAACTTAGTTGCAGGATCTATCACATAAGGCCTGTGTAGAAAGAAAACAGACTTGAGTTTACCAATATCTTCTAGAGATAATCTTCGTCCTTTGACCTCGTCGATGACTGGTTTTAATTGATCTCTCCACCATTGTAATGGAGAATACCATTCAAGAGTGGTCCAAATCAAAGACTTGTGCTTTTCGGGATCCATTATATGTTGGTACATGGCCTCAGTGGGAATGAGAACAGGCATATAATACAAACAAGTGGCACACCAAATATACCACAAATGGTTTTTTGTGAATTTAGCATTTGGGTTTATTAAAATTGGCAGGAGAAAAGGAGTGTCTGGGAAATAAGGACTATGATCTGGTAATTTATTCCTTATGATTTTTTTCATGTAATAGAAAAGATTTTTCCTGGCATACTGCTTGAGTTGGGATAGTGAAGAGGAGGTCGTTATTCCTGGAGGAAGATTCTTTGTTTTGGATGCATGGGTTGGTAGTGGTTTGACCATAAGAATTAAAGGGAAAGTGTGCTTGGCTGTGATGATCTGGATGGGTTTCATGAGTCTGGATAGTAGGTATGGGATTACATTTTGGGTTCCCTTGATATGTTTTACTGAGAAATCATATCTGGAAAACCAATCTTTGAGCCTAAGAGTTTGAGGATTGAGAGGCATCTTATTTTTGAATTCAAGGATCTTAGGGAAAGAGGAATTGTCCATCTGGACTTCAAATTGATATCCTCTTAGGTGAAAGTCAAATTTTTGGATCCCCATCTTTACAGTGAGGGCTTCTTTGTAGGTGGTGTGGTAGTGTTTTTCAGATTTTTTGAATTGGCCACTGGCATGGCCACAATAGTATCTTTTTCCTTTAATTTCTTCTATCAGGACTGCTCCCCAATAATGATCACTGGCATTGGTCTGTAGAATTCTTTTTCCGTTCCCTGGGATTTTTAGAGCAGGAGGATTTTGTGCGATTTTCTTTAAGGCTTTCACTGCTTCAGTTTGTTGTGTTCCCCATGGTGGAGCTTTTTTCTGTAACATTTGGGATAGAGGACTCATGTATCTTGCCAGCTTCGGCAGGAAATCTCGGATATAATTAATTATACCAAGAAATTGTTGGATTTGCTTAACTGTGAGATTTTCATCAGGAAAGTTTAATAGTTCTTGGGAAATATGAGGCTGAGGTTGATATTTCCCTTGGGAGAAATGCATCCCTAGGAAATCAATTTCTATTTGTCCCAATTGACTTTTCTTCTCAGAGAGCATCATTTCGTGCTGTTGGGCTATTTGAAGAAATTGGCCCAATAATTGTTTATGGGTTTTTTCATCTTTTGAGAACAATAACACATCATCAATATAGATGAGGATATTGTTGAGGATGGGCCTAAAAAATTCTATTCATGGCTTTTTGAAAGAGTGATGGGGCTACCTTAAGCCTAAATGGTAACACGGTCCATTGGTACTGGGCGTTAGGAATGCAGAACGCCGTTTTATAGCGATCTTCAGGGTCGATACCCAATTGCCAAAATCCTGACTTAAGGTCGAACTTAGAATAGATCTGGGCATCTTTGATGAAAACATTTAAGGACGAAGCTTTTGGAATGGGAAATTTATCATCTTTGAGAAAATGATTTAGAGGTTTGTAATCAGTTACTAGCCTCTTTTTTCCCCTCAGCTTTTCAGATCTCTTTTCCACATAGAATGCTTGGCAAGCCCATTCTGATTTGGTGGGTTCTATCAAACCTTGTTTGAGGAGTTGGTTGCATTCTTCCCTAGCTAATGCGTAATCTGATGGGCTCATCCCTGGATGAGTGGCCTTAGTTGGATTAACATCTTCGTTGAGCTTGAAGGGAAGTTGAACGAAGAAGTCCTTATTCTTCCATAGAGGTTTTGGGTGGCGGAATTTCTCATGGCTATCTGCACATAGTCTGAGAAGGTTGGACTTGATTTCTTCATAGCCAGCAGGAACCTTGGAAAGTGAATATAATTTTAGTATCCCAGAATAGGGTTTGAATTCTCTTTTGAATTTGATTCCTGTGGGGAGAATTTGAAGTTTAATTGCTGCTGAATAGACATCCAATTCCTACCACAATATCTTTGTTTGGAAGATTACTGCCAATGACCTTGGTCCAGACTATGCAGTCTGGGAAGAATTTAATTCCTATTTTCTCCTTGGTCATTAGATTTGTCTTGAAAACGTTTCCATCTGCTGCTACAAAGTATGCAGCATGTGTCACCCATGATTCTAGAGGGAGAATGTTGGGATTCATCATGGTAATCTGGGCCCCAATGTCCATATAAGCTATAACTTTCTTCGGACGGGAAAACTTTGTTGCAAGAATATGGACTTCAACACAAGGAAGTGGTGTAGTAGGAAGAGAATTGCCTATCTCTTTGATGGAGTAAACCGGAAGATATCTATCGTCTTCGGACTCCGAGAATGATGCTTCATCGGATGAGGAGTCTTGAAGGGCAAAAATTGTTTCTTCATCAGCAGAACTTTGTTCAGAATACAAAGATTCTAAGTCTCCTTCTAGAGGTTGAAGAGAGTTAATCAATTTTGCGGTTTTATGGGTGTTATTGGGACATTCTTTTGAGAAATGCCCTTTTTTCCCACAAATAAAGCATCTCTGGTTTTTCCCCTTTCCTCTAAAAGGTTTTCTTCTACAGAACTTCATATTATTTCTTTTCTTTCCCTTGAAGGTCCTGTGAGGTTTGGTGTATTTTTTATGTTTCTTTTTTGTTGAACAACCACACCTTTTGTCTTTACACTTAATCTCCAGGTAGGGTTTCTTACATGCTTGGGTGAACTTTTACTTTTTTCTATAACTTCAGAAAATTGATGATGAAAACTGCAAAGCTTTTCAAGTGCTTCTAAGGTCACCTGGTGAATCTGGCTGAGACTCATAGTTTTAATATCCTTTTGTGTTGTAGCTAACATTCTATGAATTTCTGGCTGAAGTTCTTGTGGTAGAGAGGATACATAGGTATTCTTGAGACTTGGGTCATTGTACCCATTAAGGACATAATACCTCAGTGTCATCCTATGATAATGCCTGTCGAGGTCTTTTGTCTTGAGAGAACAACACTTCATCTCAAAGAATTCTTGTCTATTTTTCCTATCAAATATTTCCATATCACCGATAAATTCTCAGTGAAGGACCCCAACAACACTAGCTGTAGTTTCTAGACGATGTAACTCATCTTGTTTGAAAGCTCCAAGGTTGTGATACCATTCTTTCATCGTGCCCGTCATTCTACAGCAAAATTCTTCAATGATCTTATAGCTATCTGCACTTGTTTTCATCATTTGGGTGTCAAGCCAAGCTCCAAATTCCAGCAGTCTTTTTCTCCAGCGACTAGGTGGTATATCATCAAAAGTGAACCAAGGACTTCCGTTTGGTTTATTCCTTTCAGGGACAAGAGTTTCCTCAGGGGATTCTTCTTCAAAAAAGGATTCTTCCTCTTTTACATTTGTCATGAAGAGTCTTGGAAAATAGTTGTCTTCAGATCCTGATTTAGTTGAAAAAGATCTTGGTGTCTCATCTAAAGATGATTCTGGATCAGAGTTATTGTCATCATCTGAGAAGGACTCGTCTCCCTCTTGTTTTGATGATTCATAGTGATCTTTCTGAGGAGATTCATGATTTGTAGTGATTGCCATGGCTTGGAAGCTTTTATTAGGAATTTCTTCTTCCTTTTGGATTTTTGAGGGGGGTGTTTCAGGGATATCTTGAGAGTCTGAGGATGAAGCGCTTAAGCAAGCAGCTTTCCCCTTTGTTTTGGAGGTTGAGGTAGTGGTAGTTCTGGAAGATCTTGGTCTGTAGGTTGTTGGTATATATTTAATTGGGTCTGATGGTGATGAAACATAAGCAGGGTAGAAAGGAGAAGGCCTTTCTGGTCGTTTGAAATATGTATGAAAAGTAGGAGGATCCAAGAAAGAGTTTTCAACCGATTTGGGTTTTCTTTCATGAGAGGCTCTTAAGAAATCATCTATCTCTTTTACTTGGCTTTGTAGACTTCTGATTTCTCTTTCCTTTTGGTCAAATGTTTTACCAAAAGCTCTTTCTTCTAACATCTGCCGCAAATCCCGATCTAGCTGGGATACTTGGGCTTTCAAGCTTCTGTAATGTTTCTGCATTTTTTGGGATAAAACCTTGAGATCTTCATCTGTCTCGTCTATTTTTTCAGCGATCTTATCTACCTTTTTGTCAAGGTTTTGAAGAATTTCATTTTGAGAAACCATATTTTTAGATTGCCAATTCAGAACTTCCTCAGCCTGAGTTAAAGGTTTAAGCTTTCCATCGGGCTGGACTTCACTCGGATGAATGAAGGGTTTGGATGTTCTGCCTGTGACTGGATCCATCTTTCTTTCCAAAACGGGAAATTATCGTTTGTACTCTGAAGTTGTGGTTGAATACATAAAGCAAGGAATTGGCTGAGCAACAGCTGGGGGATGTAACGGTTTACAATGGTCTGTTGGTGACCATGTAATAAGATTCAGATCATCAGGTGGTAACAATCCTTCTCTCCTGAGGATTTTTAGTCCTTCCTCATAGATACAGAGGGGTTTCTTTTTTCCATGGATTCCTACCCATGGCCCATTGTCTGGATCAGATCTCCTTTGAGGAGGTGGCGAGGGTTTGCACCTTCCCTTTTTCTTTGTTTTAGGAAGAATGATATCTCTGTCAATATCATCATCGTGCATCCAGCAGTCACAATCTGGGTCACATCTTGTTGGGTCAACATCCCAAATGAAGTGGCCATCTATTTTATCTGCGTAGATAGGTTTTCCCTCTGTTGTAACAGCATAGACAGGACACCAATCTTCTTTGAGAACTGGTTGAATCATCATTGTCTGGAAGATCGGAGATATTGAGCTCGACCCTTCGTCTGGTTTTTTAAAGATCGTCTTGACTGTTTTGTCAACAGATCTCCTGAAAGTAGCCTCTTGAGATTGGATAGGTCTTCTGTCAACATGAAGTCTCTCATAGTTGGTTATCCATTCAAGGGGAATTAGCTGAGTTAATTCTTCCCTTGTGATCTTTCTTGGAATCTGGACTATGGAGGGTATGTCTTCTTATCTATTGGTGATAACCAATAGTGAATCAGAAGAGCATCCTGAGATAGGAAGATCTATCGAGTGATTTTGTAAGCGGTATATTATCTGGTGATGGAGGGTAGCTGACATAGCTTCAGGAACATGGTCAGTTCCGGTGATTTGGATCTGTACTTTCAGTCTTGTGGACAAGGTGTTATCATTAAGATTCACATTATAGTTAGGGAAGATGGTGAGGACGACACTTCCTGCATGAAGTGTAGTTAGAACAGTTCCTATTACAACATTTTCATAATGGAGGTAGCTGGAGTCCAGAAGAGCTATTTTGCAAAAGACGGGTTGGTTCTTCCTTCCATGAAGAGAAAGGATGAGTCTGACAGCCCCGAAGTGTAAGGCTGTCTATCCTTCAATTTTCCAGTGATTTATGAGATATTGGGGAATCTCCAGATCTACATACTGCTCTTGGTTTGTAGCTCTTAGGCTGCATTGGTCTAGTCTAGATGACTGGATGTACTCTTTCATATGAGGACGATTGGTAGAGATAATATTTCGGATGGATCTGGTAACACTTCTTTGTCTTTTGAAGATGTTGTACGGACTCAACAGAGGAGGTATTGTTTCAAAAATTTGAGCATCTTCAGGAACATGAGAGTACTCAATAAGGTTTTCTATTTTATGAGAATTAGTCTTTTTACAGAGTTTAGGAAGTGATAAAGAAGAAGTAGTGGTAATAGGTTGAGTGTTTAGTTCTGGTGTTTCCATGTTTAAGTGATTTCTCCCTTACTCACTCTCTTTATTATATTCATACCATATGCACCCCTTCTTTTCTGTTCAGGCTCTGATACCAAACTGTCCGGGAGCCTTACATGCCATGAAACTCAACCTTAAATGTATCGTCCTCCAATAGCCAACCATAGGCATAACATGGACTAACAATTAAAACTGAAATTCATAACAGTAAGGACCGTAGTATGGATCAATGGTCGGATGTTGACATGTCATGTGCTTGTATTTCGGTCTTAATAAAGACTTTTTCTTAGAATTAAAAAGTTTTATGAGATTGAAAAGAGAGTTCTGCAATTTGGAATAGAAGAGATTGATAAAAAAATATTGAATGTATTTTTGCTTATTTCCCTTGCCATGTATCGTTTTTAGTTGTTGTTGGGAAAATTATTTATGAAAGATACTTGCTAATCGTGAGAATGGGCGCTGCCCATTATATTTTTTATTATTTATTTTTACTTTTTATTATTTAAACTAATTTCAAAAAAAATTCTTACATATTAAATTGAGAATTGAATTAGAGAGTAGTAGGTCTATATATTATGTTTCTATTTACTCCTCTTACTTTTTATTTGCACCTCATATGACACAAATAATTTTGGTAGATTATGAAAATAACCTTGTAAATTTTGTGACCAATTTTTATAAGTATTTGTGAATATTTCTTGGTTTGTGGCTATTTAATTTCTTTGAGTTAAATTTTGGATTCGACATTTTTTTGTTGTTATACCACCAAACTTTCACACGTTAATTGGTTAATTTCCGCCGCATTGTGACCTATGTGTATGACATTTTTCATGTTGACATTACACACAAACCGACTTTGGAGAATATTGTGACAAATTCGATTCGATGTATTCAACTTTCATTAATTAAATAACTTTGAACTTGGTATTAATTATTTAATTTTGTTAATCAATTTTAATTAACTTAATTATTTGATTCTATTAGTCGAATAATTTTGATAATTGGCTTAGATTAATTTAATCAAGTGATTTAATAAACTTTGACCAATTTGAATTTGATAAATAAAATCGGGCCAAGAATGAAAGATTCTAAGACTCAATTTGCTTTTATTTACACGCATTTGTTTCATGTCATCCCCATTCGATAAAATGTACTTCAAATCCCATGAAGTGTAAATAACTTTATAGCTTTCCTTTACTTTTCTTATGTCTTGCCCTTACACCAATTAAACCATTTTCAAAATAACTTCTCGATCCAACGTCGAGCCATCTTTTATACCTTGTAAGTCGATTGCTTTTTAAGCATCACCATCAACCTTTTGGTCACCATACACAACATTCAAAGCTTACTCCTGGGCTTTCTTACAGTGAGACCTATTCGATCAACACTTCTAGTTGATCGTTTAGAAGACTAGTCCACTTTGCTGGTGCACACGATTAAAACTCAATTCAATTACTTTCTCATTTGTATCTTGTCAAATTGAAACTCTAAAGTGCAAACCATGCCTCTTGTAAGTCGAGCGCTTTTGCGTCGTCATCGACCTTACCCTATACCACTAGGACCTCCTTTTCATTAGTTCAAACCATTAATCATTTCGTACGTAAACTTAAACCTCAATTAGCATCGAGTATTTTCTGCAAATCAAATCAATATACTTAACCATACGTAAACACAATTTCAGTAAAAGATGAAAAGGGAGTTGGAATGGAGTCTTCGATTCCTCTCCTCAATTGTGTGGGCCCAAGGAGCCTTTCTTACGCTCAAACAATTGCCATCTCTAAAAAATTTCTAATCCGATCCTACATCAAACTATTTCACGATAAGCTAAATCAAATCTATTTTCTCAAACACTAAGATGAAAAAGAGAGAGAGAGTCAAGTCTTTGACTCATTCTCCCGATTACTTAGGCCTGAGGAGCATTTCTTAAGCTTCGAGTAATGGTCACCTGATTAACTTACTCTAACTATATCAAAATCCTTTCACAATTAAGGTGGAAAAAGAGAGAGAGAATCGAGTCTTCGATTCACTCTTTCGATTACTTGGGCCCGAGGAGCCTTTCTTAAGCTTCAAGTGATTATTATCCAAGCAAAAATATAACACATCAAACTCTCTTTTCTCGCCCCTGTGCGATCAAAACTTCTCAAGACACTAATTCATCGCCCCCGTGCGATCCACAACTCAAACAATTTTTCAAAAGAACATTGTTTAGTCCCTTCTTCCGCGCATATGAACTAGTGCTTCAGCCTCCCCTAGTGAGCAGACATGCCAATGTTTAGTAGTTAGAACATGACCTAAACACTCGTTCGCTTAAAACACAAACCAATCAACCGTAGTCGTCCGAACTATAATTGCTCTGACTTCCTCATTGCACTATGAGGGTACGTAGGCATAGGATTGCGAGATCCTAGCGAGCTACCTTCTTTTTTTCTTTTTATCTCCAACATTTTCCCGTAGTCCCATGAACTATGATGCTCTGACTTTCCCATTGCACAAGGGAGTACGTAGGCACAAGGATCTAAATCCTTGGCGAGCATCATATCCTAAAACCATCTATTTTCCCCTTAGAAGCGAATTCTTTAGAAGATAACAAACAACCTAGCTAATATTCTCACTAATCGAATCAAGAGGTTCCCGTTGAGTACGATGTGAGGGTGCTTTTACCTTCCTTTTTGCATAATCGACTCCCGAACCTAGAATTTGGTTGTGATGACCATGTTCTTATCTCTTTAATGGTTTTATCAACATTTTCCTATTCCTTCCTTGGAATGAATAAAGTTCGGTGGCGACTCTGTTCAAACTTTTTTCTGCGTCCATCGCGAGGATCGCATTTTTAGAGGTACGATAGTCGCCCATGTAGACCTCTAGCATGTCCCCGATCTCACCTCGGAAGACTTTGTTCATCATCTATTGGTAAGTAACACCGGCGTTTTTCAGCCTGAAGGGCATTACATTGTAGTAATAGTTGTACGACTTGGTCATGAAAGTCGTGTATTGCTTGTCTGTTTTTTCCATGGGGATTTGGTTGTACCCCGAGTATGCGTCCATGAACAAAAATAGTTTGAAACCTGCAGAGTTGTCGACCAATTTATTAATGTTAGGCAAATGATATGCATCTCTAGGGCAGACCCTATTAAGATCGATATAGTCAACACAAATTCTCCATTTTCCATTAGATTTTTTTAACTAATACAACATTAGACAACCAGGTTGTATATTGGGCTTCAGAAATAAAATTTGCGTCTAGGAGGTCTTTTACAGCTAATTCAGCAGCCTCTGCTTTTTCGGGAGACTGCCTACGTATATGTTGTACTGCGGCCCTAGCGGCAGGATCTATGGTCAGCTGATGACAAGCAACATCAGGGTCCGGCCCAGGCATCTCTGCAACGCTCCATGTGAACAAGTCAGTGTTCTCCTTTAGGCAGGCCTTCAATTGCTTCTTGCTAAGTTAGGGAGTCTCGTGTCGATCTTCACGCCTTTGTTCGGGTCATTTCCAATAAGAATAAGCTCAAAGTCGCCATCAGGGATGGGGCACGTAGGATGGAGAGATTCCACTTTGTTCTTAGATGTTGGAGATGCGTCTGATGCTACTCCGTTCTGTTCCATTAGTTGGTGAAGCGGTTATCAAGGTCGAGTGAATTGACACGGGGCAACGACTTATGTTCCTCGGATCAGGTTGGCTTGGTGGTACTTCTAGGCGTCATATTGATCGAGTCCAACCCCTTTGTGGCTGCTTCAAAGCATCTTTTCGCAATCTCAACATCCCCGACGATGCGACCCCTGGTCGTACAGTACTTCATCTTTAAGTGGACTGATCGGTAAAATAGAAAGTGTACTATTCTGCCGATTGTAGTTAAAAATAGGGGGTTATCCCCATTATCAATCTCGAGGACTACGTTAGACAATATAAGCTTAATTCAAATTTAATTAAACAAAAGTCAATTAGGGGTTTATAAAATTGGTTTTACGAATTTTAAACAAAATATTTAGAATAAAGCAAAGTAATGGACAAAGTTCAACAAGATATGAGAGCATGCTATGGGAAGTGTATGAATTGCCTTGCAAGAACATCAACCCTTATTTCATAACATAAACATAGTTTTTATCAAGTTCTTGACTGCTATTAGTATTTACCCCTAAGTCCTTAGTGAGAAAACCTTTGAAATCATAATCAATTTACTACATCCATAGTCAAACTAATTTGAAATCAAGCATTGAAAATAGTTTCAGCAGTAATCAAGTGCACAACAGGTTAATCCTAGTCCTAGGAATTATCTACTGAGGCATTATTGATCAAATTGTATTAATAGTGGTTTGCCCGACCTAAGGTTAACCAAAAAACTAAATCAATTTGTCTGATTGAAAAAGTGATAAAATCATTGAACGATAAAACTTGATGAACAAAAATAAATGCTTATGTCATAAAAATAAGGAAGATAATGTCATTACAATAAAAATTCAGGAACACCCCCCTAGAATTGGGGGGTTTAGCTACTCATATTCAATAAAGTAAATCGAACAATTAGATACAACATTACAGTAGAAAATGGGGATTACTTTTGATCTTCAATTGCTTTTGCCTTTGAAAATCTCCCGTTTTCCCTTTTCTCCTGAGCTCTCAATCGTATCTTTTGGTGTTCTTTCTTTCATGATCCAAAAAGTCCCCATTCCTTTTCCAAATGTGTTTCAAATACTAACAGATTCAATAGACAGGCCTGAAAATTTCCAAAAATGCCCTCCGGGGTCAAAACTAGACAAAACTGACAAAAATTGGAAAATGACACCCCCAGGTCAACACGGGCCGTGTCAGCTGACACGAGCGGCTGTGTTGGCCCCTAGTTCAGATACAAAATAAAATTCATCAGCCAGCCTTGCGACACGGGCCGTGCCAGCTGACACGTGCCACGAGCACCCGTGTCAGCTTTTTGTCTAGCACACCAACACCCCCATGTTGTCCTTCTCCTGACACGGCCCGTGTCAGGCCACTGAATTTGCTTTAAAACCTTTTTCGCCTT